TTTCTTGTAGTTTTCCCAGTTCATGCGAATTAGAACTATTAAGGAGATTTTAAGGTTAGAAAAAAAAAAAACCTCTGCCCACAAAATGGGGTGAGGGAAGGAAGTTTGCCTGGAAAAATATTGATGGAGAAAGGGGAGAACGGAAAATGAGTGGTTTTTTCGCAAAATACAACCAAAAACGAAACAGACCCATCTGTTAGTAGCCAGAATTTTGGTGCGTGATGAATCTGCATGAAATTGGGCATGAACTTAGGCATTTAAGCAAATGGATAGGCATGTAAAATGGGACTTAGAAGTTGTGGTTTGAAGAGTTGGTACCGGAATTGGTGTGCTTTCCTGTCTTTGTTGGGAAATGCTTCTGATACTATATATATGAATCTATATTTTATATATGTATTTATATCTATTTGTGTATGTATATTCTCATTTTGCCATACCTTTCTGTAATACGAGCTGTCTTATTTCATCATTAACACGCGTGCTACGAAAGTTATGGATGACTTTATTATATCTGTTCTGACCGGAACTGCCACTGTATTAATCCTGCTTTCTGGCCTCTTCCTCCCTTTTCTAGAAAAATTCCCTCCTCTTCCTCTGTTTACGTAAATGTGTGTATGTGTTTTAGGGCGTAGTAGTGGGCGCAAACCCGATGCGTCCGACCTTCACAACTCACGCAAATGGCGATAGTTCAAGCAGTGATTATGTAAGTTTCTACTCATTCCAGCGATTACTACCAACACAGTTGCTTTTATTTTCCACGATTTACCACAGAGCAGTAGCTGCTAAGCATGTTTTTTCGCCTAATATTTTGCATGGCTTGAAATTTTGACTATTCACCGTTTTGCAGTTCCGCGCTTTTAGCCGATCGGCCGATTTTTGCGTGGTCCACTTGGATGCAGTCAGCACTATTTAAGCCCTAGTTAAGAGCATATATTGTTAACTGAGGCATCTAGTACCAGTGTTTTCCGTTCTGCTGGACCCGTAAAAGAGTTTCCTTGATAGGACTTTGGCCCTTGGAGACGTTTCTTTTTTTTTACTGATTTTTTCTTGCCGCAGATTTTGTTTACGCCCGTACGCCGCGTTCTTTAGCATTCGCGCAGGAGCGCCATCTGCGATAGCCGGGATAGGGGAGCGGGGGGGAAGGGGTCAGTATTTCAGATTTTCTCTAATGTTATGCCATACTCCGATGGTTGAGGAGTCAGTACGCATATTTCATTTGTGTCGCTTACAAAACTTCTATACGAAATCATGCCTGTGACATGCCAGCTTGAATCAGATTTTTGGTTCGGTGCAGAAAAGGCTCGGGTTTCTAATCTGTATGGTGTTTAGTGCTTCTGTATAAAACTGCTTCTGCTTCATATGGGCTGGCAAAAATGGCCTTCCAGAACTGCTAGTGCTAGTCAGAGCTATGCCCATTCTTCTAGTCTTCTATACAAACAAACCAAAATCTGTTCCCAAAGAAAATGAAACTATCAGATTGGCGTAAAAGTTTTGTATGGCTGAGCTTGTTAAGATTCATTTTGAAGCTGATAGGAAGTTATCAAGCGAATTCGGAAAGTCTGTTAGGCTCAAGAGCTAGTTATGGTGGAATGTCACTGGCACACAGTCTAAACATTTGCAGTTCTCAGCGCAAAATGTTGAAATGTCTAACGATTTTTTGAAGCTTATTCAGTAAAACTCAAACAGTGATCTTCTGAAGATTATAATTTTGACCTCTGCAGCAATCTGTGACCTGCAAAGAATTGTGCTAATCGTTTTTTTCTTTTTGTTTTTTAAAAGCCTATTTTATAAATGATGGGGACTGTAGCCAACTCCTGTGTGTTACAGCTGCTGCATGCCTCTCAGTAACGTTCAGGGCCCACTCCTGCTGCTCGTAGTTCATCTAATTTTTGCTGTGTTTTGCTCGCGATGCGTAACAACTAACTTGCCGGCAGACGATGCACTTGTTTGATCATCGCGTTCGCATATGCTCTAAGAGTTTTCTTTTTTTTTTGCTTTAAGAGTTTTTTCTTTTTTTTCACACCAGCAACAGATCGCAGTGCAGCAGTTTTCTTTTTCGTTTTAAAGCTTTTTGCGACAGAAAAGCCGAAGTGACCTGAAACGATTGTTAATTCATAATCTGAACCTCTGTTTCGGCAACGGACAGTCTTTCCAGCGAATACTATTTTGTGCTTCCTGCATCTGCATTAATCAGTAGATCAGTACTGATTCGATTTAGTGGATGAGCTAAGCGTACCGATAGCTTTTCCGCCTTTTCTTATAGCCTATTGTACCAGATATTCGCTTCGTGCTGCCATCTTTGTCACATGTATTGCTCAGCTTCTTACACGTTTCCTTTATCATGTCTTTTATGCCCGATCACGGCCATATCTTCATCATTGAACATGCTGACGCCTAGCATCCATCTTCCCATCAATCTCTGTCTGGTTCATTACTGACATATTTTCTTCCGCCGCGAGAATGGTATTCCATGTTTCGCATCCATATGGTAGTGCACGGAGAGCGGTGCAATTGAAAATATCTACCTTTTTATGCGTTTTTTGCATCTATGCAATGCAAAAACGCATATTGTCGAGGGGTTGTCTGTGTG